GGTTGAAAACTGAAATGTTAGTTTGTTACCTCGAGGCAGAGTAATAGCAGTAACTAGGAAATCTGCATTGCTACCATCAGTGCTACACATATTATATGGATGAATGGAGGTTACCATGTTCCACTGCTTTCAGTCCAATACAAAGGACCAAGAATAAGAAATTCCTGGAATAAATTACTATGCTATCTTTCTCCTAATGAACACAAACTGCAAAATACTAAAAGGTTTTGAAAGTATGAATAAAAATGGTATTTATCATAGTACTTGATATATTCCTGGAAGCAAAATCATTAAATATCACCATTATGGGTAATATACCACTCTTGACCTAATGATCACCAAGTCTCATAAAACTGCAGAAATAGCTGAAAGAGAACTCTTCAGATATCAAGCTACAAAGATTAATGACTTTGGAGTTCAGAAATCCCCTGATTTGAAAATAAGCCGAGACCAGAAGAGGACTTAAAGGCACTATAAACCTTTGATTTGCTCTTTTTCTCTAGGCATCAGCTTATGGACCCTACTAGAGACTGACTACTGGGCTTAGACAGAGCCTTGATCTGACTGAACCAGTACAGCTGTTCTTGTGTTCTTAGTCATGAGAAGTAGGCAACACCTCTGTTCAACAGGCTGACATTTTTAACTAATTTTAAAGACTTTTATTTTCCTTGTACAGATTTAGCTACAAATTTATAGATTAAATGGAAATACAGTTCAACCAGTCAAGTAGGGAAAAAAATACATTAGAAAAACTTCCAAAAATGTGTACAAATCATCCCATTAAAGGGCTATTAATATACATTTTGTGTACTGAAGAATCACATTACTTTCTTTTCTTGGTCCTGTTCATCAATGGAGGATTAAAGCGCTGAAAATTTAAAAGAAAAACAAAACTTTGCAACAGATAGAACACCTGCTGTAACGCTCTAAACAGAAAATCAGGAACACATAAATAAAAGTTTAAAGATTATATGAAGATGTTACCCTAATTTTAAGACAAAAGAGGAAATATGGAATAATGGTATGGGAGGCTTGAAGTATGAACAATTGCTAAAAAGCCAAGTCCAGTATCAGTAACTGGTGAAAATGTTTACATCTCTATGGCTATGTAATTACAAGGTCTTCCAAATAAAAAATACTAACAATACGAATGCAAGATAGTGGTTTCTGCAATTGGTAAACATGTCTTGGAAGAGACGTGCTACCTAAGGCAAATAGCTGTATTCAACAGTAACCTATGATTTTGGATTCTATATTTGGGGTTCTAAACCAAAAACACATTAACTATCCACACTATGGAAACATAGTAGTAACTGTGTTGAGTCTCAAAATTTATGGAAAAAATACTAGATGAGATACTAAAATCACAAACACTATTTTGGGGTTTTAAGTAGGCAAAACCAAAAACAAGAGTAGTACCCTAATTTTCATTTACGGCAGCTATTCAAACAGAAGATAGAGAAGAAGTGTTATCCAAAGAAAACAAATTTAATCAGTTGTGTTTCACAATCCTTAAAATGTATACTTAAAGTAAAAACATAAGCCACTGACAATACATTTAAAATGCAATAGTGAACAGCACTGTCACAGCAAGAGTTTTCAACAGTACTTTCACTAAGAATCAGGTTTCTTGCCCCTTTCTCCAACTACCTAGACTGGAAGTACTATCTGCTTCACCTCCTTGGAATTCTAAGAAAATAGAAGGTAAAAGACTTGTCAAAGCCTAAATCTAAGCTTCCCTCCCCCATTCCTTACAAATTTAATATTTAGCATGGAATATTCGTGTATTAATGCTCCGGATTTGAAGAGCTGTGGGCAATTAATCTGCAATATGTATCACTTCCCATATGAAGCTCTACCTTAATTCCAGGTTTCTACGAAATCTTCTTATACTTTTTGCAACACAAGCATAAACTTTCAATTTTGGTCTTTCAGCACACAACATGGAGGCAAACATTAAATCGTCCCAGTCTTTAGAGGCACAGTTCAGTCACCATCCCTTTTTAAAATGCTGAGGAGCCCCATCTGCTGGTAGAAGTATTACTCTAGAGAATTACAGCCCTGAGCTGGTGATTTTTTTTTTCAATTGTACCACTTGATAACTGGGTTTTTTTAAAACGCAGCCATACACAAAAAAATTAAGAGCAAATATTTTAAACGAAAAATATAAAATTCACTGAAATAGTACGTGAAAATTTTAAGAGGAAAATAAGCACATAAGAATGCATAAAAGATGAAAAACTGCAAAACTGTTTGGCTAAATACTACAAAAATTGCATTCAACTAAAGATCTTTTTATTTAAGCACAACTTAAACTACCATACTGAGTCAGATATGCTTAGACAGAACTCTTAGTTCTGAGAAATCTCCACCAATATTGGACTATTCAAAAGATATATGTCTCGATGCATAGGTTGAATGTAAGGATTAAACCCAAGATATTTACCCATTAAAACATTCAGTCACATCTATTCACATGACTAACTGGAAGTAGAGTTTTGCGGCCATGGATTGCCTACTCGCTCTGATCATACAGGGATTTTAGGCTTCTGAGTTTTATCTGAATCACATGTTGAAAATAACTAGTGCAAGCATCCTGAGTGTCTGTAAACTTCCATTAAAGAGGACCACCTTCCACTGCCCAGATTTAAGCTAGCAATTCTAAGCAGGTGTTTTTGGATGAAAACAGCAAAAAAGGTAAGCTGTGGGAAGGTACAGGATCAGGAAAAAAAAAAAGTGCATCTGTATCTTCAGTCAGTTGCTTTATGCTTATATCAGAAAATGCAGAACTTCAGGCAGCAGTGGGCTGTCACAGTCATTACAAATTTATGGACTTGTGACCCTAGAAAGTTGAAGAAATTAATTTCGTAACATCAAGTCAATACTTTATCTAAACGTGCCCTCTACTGGCCTGAAAGGTACTTGTGTAAAGGTGCAAACTGAAGATCCTACTGCTCATACCATTACAGTCTTCAACTTCATTAATAACAACAGGAAGCATTCATGGGTATTTCTCTACAGGTAACCTTCCAAAATACAGAAGTGTGTTTTCATATACTTTGTAACAGTCACATTATTACTTTATTAACTTTTTACTCACATGCTCTGAAGTATTGCTGCCTTTTATATTAAATTACCATGGTTTGGGGCACCTACAGCAAGTAGATTTCTTCAAAAAACAACTTTAATGTTAAGGAATGCTTCCAAACAGTAATCTTTCTTTCTGCTTAGAATACAAGACAGGCTATTAATTCCATTTTTTAATAATTTTACATTGCAAAAACAACTTTGATTTTAGATTGTTTTACCAAACTTAATACATCCATAATTCCTCTTATCAGTAAAATGAGCCTCTGGGGTAGTAAACAAATATTAAGCATATTGTGTAACAGTTTAAAATAAAAAGTCAAATTCAGACATATTGAAGTTAGAGGTGCATAAAGTTTCATACAGTCCTAATTTAAATTGCTATTTACCAAAACCATCCATCAGTACTTTTTGCATATCTTAGTGTCTTCCTTCTAAGTCAGTTCTTCAAGTAACACCCAAGATTTAACTTATTCAATAGATCAAAGAATACCTGCAAAGAAAAACAAAAGTGCTTTTTTCCTCCATTTAATCTTTAAGAGAAAGACATAAAAAAATCTTGGGAAAGAACATGAAGGAGGAATTACCCACAGTTCAAAGTATTCAGGCTTTGGTGTGATATGTTATGCTGACTACAGAAACAGTGAAGTTATTCTAACTGAAGATAAGGCAACTGAGAGGAGTAAATTTGATTCATGCTATAAGTCTGGACTTTTCTGCAAGCATCAGTGATTTAATAGACACTAGGAGAAAAAAGCAAAAACTCTGTCCAACATTCAAGAACATCACTGCTTCAAAGATGAAAAGTGAGCACATATAGGGTCCCATGGCAAAACTGGGGAAAGAGGAAAAAAAAAAAAAAACTCATACAAAAGCCAAACTAAATGAAACTCCAATTCTCCACTACAAGTTAATCAGCAAAATAGTTTAAAAGAAACAAACGATCTCAATTTTAAGAAGAGAATTTAACAGTATTTTTCCTACGTGAAATCAGAATTTAAAATCAGGTTTTAAAGTTCTAAAACCTCTCCTGATGTTTTAGAAGCATGCTGATACAATGGGTGTTCTTGTCTTTACTTATTAAGGCTTACTTTAAAGGGTCAAATTTTAAAATAATTGTACCTGCTATGTTAAATACAATAAAGCATGCCTTCCACCAAGAAGGACACTTTCTGTATGCTCTTATCAAAACCATGTGCCTGTGTAAACCCACTTCAGACTACCATTTGAACCCAGAGGTGGCATTAGCCCTGTATCTGGGAAAACACACACATAAAATACTTTTATATTACACAATGTTAAATAAGACTCATTGGACTAAATTAATACACAAAAAACTGAAGTCAAATTTGCTAAAGGAGGAAATTTCACTTTAAGTACTGAACGATTAACCCTTGAAACAATGTTAAAGTGGGAAGACTCCTTAGATCATGCCAGGACACCTTTCTGGGATGCAAAACATCAGTTCAGATGAAAAACTGAACTGTCAGACCTTAGGCCTGACAGAAAGGTAAAGTTCCTCAAAATATTATCCCAGTATTGGCAGTCAATTGTTTAATGACTGAAGGCAAAATCTGTAGTCAGACCATGGTGCCTATGGCCATTGTGAAACTAAAGTAGAACATAATGAAAACATTAATACACATCACAAGAAATGACCCAGCAGAAATATAACTTAAGATCTGAAACACTGACATGCCCAATACAAATTAAAAAAAAAAAAAAAGTAGGTATAGTGAAGGATCAGGCTACAAGTTCATAACTTGCAAATGTACTTAAAAGCAACTCCTCACATTCCGAATACACTGGAACTGTTAAACACACAGACGTAACTATGTTATTCCCAGATCATTATTTAATGGCACACTTTAAAGTTTGATGATTGATCCGCAAAACATCTTGTTCTACATTACCTTGACTGTTTTGTCCATAGAAGCAGAGAGAAGCATGTGACTTTGTTCCCGTACAGGACACCACTGGATTGCATTGACAGGGCCACTGTGTTTAGACATGAATATTAAGCTTTTGGGGACTTCAGTTAATTTATATTTGGATCCCAAATATGGCTTAATTAATTCAGAGATCTTTCTCAAAGTCTGCTCTCTTGATATGCCTAGCTTAACATCGCAATCTGAGTTTTCTCTCTGATCACATTCTTTTTTCTCAGGCATACTGGAATTTTCTTGACGCAACCTTTTAGGGATATACGGTCTAATCCCTTTTATGGCAGTAGTACTGTCTTTATGTATTCTCTTGTGGGAAACACCATTTCCAGAGTTTGTTGAAGAGCTTGATGCTTGTTCATAGTTTTTGTAGGACATACATAATGCAGTATGGCCAGAGTATGCTCTCTTACAATAAGGAGATGTCAAATCAGCGTTGTTATTCTGTACATAATGCTCAGAGGCATCTTCACAAGCAGTGTTTGTGCCAGAACAGTCCATGTTCCCAGTAGGCTGCATTTCATATGTAGATTTTGTACCCAAACTACCAGGTGCAAAGTACTGAACACAATTCACAGAAGAACTTGGCTGGCTTGCTTGTTTGATGGAAGTATTGGGGACTTCAGTGTTTTCAGTTTCTGTCTCAGAGTCTGAATCATCGTAAGCAACCAGTGACAAACTCATTATGGCTAGACACAGCAGACTCCAGAAATCTCTGTGCTGGAATCCTCCAAAAATATGATCTAAAATAAAGAATCAATTATTCAGAGCAAAATCTATTAGTCTGCAACTTGAGTAACGTAAGGATATAAATATGCTTTTTTTCACAGAAAAACCTGTAACTTTTATTACTCTTTATTAATGGAATTTATTCCTTTATTATAACACATATGCACATTCAATTATGCACCACCATTTGCCTCCAAGCACATTACATACATTTTTAATGCACTGCAGAGATGCATTTGCATACCATAAAACAATGAAAATGAGTATGAAAAGGAAAACAAACTTGCAGAATAAGTACTGCAAATCACTTTCACCTTACTTGCTGCAGCACTTCCTCTCATACATAGAAAAAAAGATGGTAATTAATTATGCAGTGTTTTGGTGTGTACATTTCAAATAATACAAATACTACAACTATTTTGGAGTCAGTCTAACAATATATATTTCTTAACAGGGCAGATGACTTGAAAGAAGTATGAAGGGGTTCAACTGGCAACTAAAAAAGTAAACGTGTTTTTGACCCTATGATTCTACAACCCATTCAGCAGTCTTCCAGTGTGAGGAAATTCTCCAAATGTATACACACAGCAAGGTCCGCACAGCCTTTAATCTTACAGGACGGAATTATGCCAGAAACTATGCTGAATTTTCTGTTTGCATTTACTCACAGAAAAATAAGAGCATAGATGCTTGTTTACTGTGGAATAAATTTTTCCAAAGTGTCTGTGAATTAGAAATCTCATACAGAGACAGTGTATGTAACATGTTGAATTAACTCACCACCATAACAATCCCACCAAGCTTCTGCTAATAATTTGGATGAAGCATGTGGACTATAGGGTTAACTACATTCAAATAATTCATGTGTCTGCAGAAATAATCTTTCACATTCTGCTGTTTATAGTCAAGAAGTATTGCTAACTTTCACTTGCTAAGATTGAATAAATGGGACATTTCATTTCTGCTTTGTTTCCTTGCCCAGCTGCTAGCACTCATTATGCTAAAGTGATTTAACCCACACCACTTTGAGATCAGCTGCTGAAAGTCTTAGTTTAGGTCAACATATAAACTGTCCTTAAAAGCATCTTGATTAAAATGAGAATGCTGTATGAAAGTCAGTATCTACGTAAGCATCTGCAGAACTGATGCCACAAATGTAGGTCCTCCAAATACTACCCCAGGAGTAGTACTACTCTGGAATTTGTAAAGATTACTCACTGAACTTCAGAATTAGATCTATTTGAATTAAAACAAGAATGCTTCACTTAACCTACAGAAGTGTTACATTACTGGCTATGGTCTAAATTCTGTAATGAAATTCCAAGCACAAACGTGGAAGACAGGTTCCTATGAACCTCATAACAGATCTTTCCAAGATAAGCGATCAAGAGTTTAACTGGAACAAGGTGACCAACATTTTGGCACATAAAAGCACCAAGGTCTCCCTCTAGAGGACATTTTGTCTGTATCTGAAGTTTATGACAGCTGAAAGTGAGAGCAACTAAGAGCAAGGAAAAGTTATTTTTCTAATAATACAACTTCCTTTATTAAATCAGCATCTCACTTAAACAGCGTAAAGGAAAAAAATAAGTAGTGATTCAGGAAAACTTAAATAACTATTCAAAAACAGTAAATTGAAGACTAGTAGTAAACTGAAATTTCTCAGCAAATCAATAGTAACTTTGAAGGACTCCAATAATTGAAACAAGTAGTTACTATTTGTATTGCAGTGCTGGAAACAGGATGCAGGCAAAAAGCATCGTGTTTAAGGCAAAAATAGAGTAAGAAGCTGACCTCTGGCTGAAAGCTATAAATGAAGATACACAACTGGATTGGGTTGGACTTTCAAAGTTACTGGAGTTTGGTTTAACACCAAGAAAAACCCTAAGCTGAGATTCAGAGATGGTGTCTTGCACATGCAAGGTTAAAAAAGTTTCCTATGACATACTGGAATGAAGCTGTCCCATTACGTTTGGTTAGTAACGGGTCAGGTAACTCCTTCCCCTGACACACATCACTCATAAGCATTAGTATTTTTGTAACAACACCACAACTCTGCCATCTTAAGATTTCCCATTCAACATCTGCTTCTAAAGAAACACCACCCCAAAGTTTATCATAGTGCCCCAACTAAAGAAAAACACGGGGGGGAAAAGGCAGAATGTACTTCACTGGAAACATACTGTAAGTAGACCGAATTTACTAACAAGAATTACAATGCACTGAGCTAACAAGGAAGTTTATGAAGTTTTGGTTGTCTTTTTCCCATGGCCGATTTATCCGAACGCATTAAATGAAAGAGCGTTAGGCTTGCACGCACAACGCCACACACCAGCCAAGAAACCACGAAAGTCACCCGAGATACGACATAAGAGGTAGGAGCAGCACTGCCAGCCGCTCACGGCGGGATTAACTCGCACCCCGGCCGGACAGCCCCGAGTCCTCTCCAAGAGCTTCCTCGCTCCCGCCGCCCCACAGCCCCGAGGCGGGGAGAACGACCCCCAACCCAAAGCCCGAACTGCCCCGCCCGCAGGAGCAGTACACCGGTCTCCAGGGCACCCCGACCCCGTTTCCTTCCCGTCTCTCCCGGCACGAGAACCGGTGTCGCTCCCTCCGCTCATACGCACTGTGCACCCACCGGCCGAGGCCACTAGTGGGGCCACCTCTACCGCTGTCCCTCCGCGGAGCCCGGCATCGTGCCCAGGGCCGCCCCGCTCCACCCTACGGGTACCTACACCGTACCGGCCGCTTAGGCCGCAACTCACCACCCAGCCTACAGAGGCTCCGTGTTTAAAAGCTCGCCGGGTGGAAACAAGGCGTTCCGTGCAAACCGTTCCACGTGTAACAGTTTTTGACTAGGGGCCGCTTCTTGGGAAGAGCAGGGGTTAGTTTGCGGTTGTCTGTGCGTATAAGAGCTCTTCTACCACCGTTGTGGGCGATGTAGAGGGGGGTCGTTTAGTTGGTGACTCTAGAAAGTAGAAAGACAGTGGGAAGCAATGGTTCCGCGGGCATGCGTTTCCCAGCCGGGAGGGGTGAGTGCCGCGCCGGTGGGGGGTGATGCAATGGCAGTGACAGGGAAGAGTTGAGTTGAGTGCAGTCGGGTCTGGCTGTGCTCCGGCGGGAGGTGAGCGCAGGGCCAGGCCTGGGGCTTGGGCGAGACACCCGGGCGGGAGAGGGGCTCTCGGGGCGGTTATTGCGGCCTCGTGGCCAATACGGTGTGCTGGGAGCGGGATTCTCTGCTGGGCACCTTCTCTCCGCGGCACGTCCGTAATGCTTGAGGGCTCTTTCCTGCGCTCCCTGCGTGGTCGCAGCCCCCGTGGCTACGTCTCCGGTGCGGCAGTAGAAAAAGCCCTTTTCCCTGGCGAGCGACGGGGACCGGGGTTTCTGGTCACTGGAAAATGCGGCCCAGCCCAAGCAGGCGGGGACCTTTGCTTTGGCCGGGCAGGCGTGTGTGGTAGAGAAGGGTTGGCAGGTTAGAAACATTAGCTTGCTGGTTAATGTCATGCATGACCATCCCTGCACAAGAACTTGGCTGTTAACAGTTGTGGGGTAGTAGAGATTCATATTGGACTTCCTAAAGATTAGAGTGGTTGAGTGGCCATATTATCATCTCAGGAAATCGCCTTGCACACTTTAGTGTTTTCATACAGAAGCTGATGATTGCCATGGCTGGGAAGGTAGGGCTGCTATAAAATGCAGCCTGTTTTGGAGTACTTACGGTATATTTCTCACATCTGTGTGCATACTAGCTGCTTTAATTTCAGTTTTCATTTTTTATTTCCAGGAGGCAGGACAGTTTTCGGGAACATAAGTGCTGTCAGACTTAAATTTGCATTCTTTCATTCATCATGAAAATCTTTTCAGGACTTCTGTATTGCTGTTCTCTTTTATGAAATGTTTGTCATGAAAAAGCTTTTCTTAGCATAACGTGAAGCCCTGTTCTTTGATTCTCTGGTCTCTAACTTACCAAATCAGATAAGAAACAGTGAGAATTATCATAGAACTGTGATTGTCACCCAGCTGGAAAGAGAGGAGGACATAGTTGTTTTCTGATATCTATGCCAAGGATTATTTTTGAGATATTATTTTGTCTCGTGATGATCTAATGTTCTGAAACAGTCGCAAGAGCAGTGCCCCGTACAAGTTACTATGCATTGCATAAATATAAAAAGCACACAATTCTTGGCTTTTAAGTTCACACTGTGAAACTGTGCTGAGGCGTTTAAGTTCATTTAAGACCCTGGTCCTGAATATCCTAGTAGTCCATTCTCAGGTTCTCATGTATCATTTTTTCCTTCCATATCTGTCTGCATACAATATCTAATGTGGGCATACAGTATCTAATGTGTCTAACACAGCAATTAAATACTGTGTCTATATGTTAGACGCATGTGTCTAAAACCAGCAGTATCTAACTGCTGGCTTTTATAATATCAATAAGAGGGCAAGAAAAAAAGCCCTGATAAAGTGCAGAATATCCAAATGTTCTTGTAAGCAGTTCACAATTGCAGTTATGGATTTCAAAAGATATAGACCTATTCCATATTACTGAATTCCTGGCTTGAATTCCATCAGCAAGTAATGACAGTACTGAGGTAAAAAGAGGTAAGTTTTATGTAGCAGTCAATATCTTTTACATTCTGTAATCATAATATCTCTTGTTGCAGTGACTAGATAACTTTTGCTGCTTCTTAATGAAAATGCACCGTATTTTGTGATACTTTGCTCAGCTTAAATCCCTAATATTCCAAAATCTTTAAAGAGTCTTTCTCTTTCACCACTCTCCACTATATGTGCTCAGTTTCAACTCTGCCATTTCAGCCTTTCTGAGCAGATGCAATCTGTCAGTAACAGTGTGCGTTCAGAAATTAAGCTAAAACACCAAATCACAATTTGTTCTCCACCAAAGGTTAATTCTTATTTACTTTATTCTATTTTGTAAAATTTGAAGCCAGTAAATATAACTGGCATATTCTTACAGAAAGGGTGTAATTCTTCATAAACATTTTCTAATATAAATTTACTGTTTTCCAGTTAAATATCTTGTGCTCATGAAAAAGAGGAAAACGCTAGTATCCAAATAAAAGAATGTAAGTAAACTGCAGGAATACATCAGAGAATTGTTTATATGCTTCAGATTACCTCTGCAGAATAATGCTGTCAAATTGCAAATAATCAAACTTGAAAGGATCGAGATTAGGTTAAAAACTAAGTAATACATAAGTATTACTGATAATATGTTAGTCTTATTTTAGTCAATTATGTCAGCCCAATATGGTGTCAATGTTAATAGACAAAGTGAATTAAATTAGTAAGTGGACAGATATGCTTTTTAGCTTTCTTGGGGTATGAAACTGAAGCTCAAATCTGGGAATGCCACAGCTGTCTGACAAACAAAGCCTTAATGGCAGATATGTTTTGGTAGCCAGCAAGTTACCAAATCAACCTGTGTAAGTTTTCTAGGCAGGTGAAGTCTTTTTACAGCCTTTAAATATATACTGTGTAAATATAACCAAGGTTGTGATTAGGCTGATTGTTTTTGTAGAAGGAAGGCTTTGAAATACTGGTGAACAACTAATGCAACTGCTATATGCTTTTGTTCCTTCTATTTTAATTCTGGGAAAAGGGAGCCAAATGAATATGTATTTTTATTAACAGCTTATATGAGTCACTTATGTATGTAACTTGTAACTCAGTCTAGTCATGCTCCATGCATAGCAATGGATTCATAATATGCTAGGGAGTGTCTCCAGAGAGACATAATCCTTTACAAGTCAGTAGGACTTTACATGGGCACAGAGTTCTTCCTTCATAGATGTGGGCATAGAATCATAGACTCAACTAGATTGGAAAAGACCTTTAAGGTCATTAAGTCTGACCTTTACCCCAGGACTGCCAAGTCCACCACTAAACCATGCCATGACAGCGAATACTCCAACACCCTGCTGTTTGCAACTCAGAATTCAGTTACCTTTTGTTGCATTTGTTGCTATCATGTCTGAATACAGTGCGGGTAAAATAAGCATAAATTTATGAATTAAGATGACATCACTTTCCTCAGGTAAAAAAGCTATACAGTAGCTTGGGTGATTGCAGAAATTGACCACATCAGTTTGTGAGGCAGCACTTCACAACACTGGACAACTTGCAGTGATAGTTTTCATGGAAAATGTACTTTTGTCACTAGGATCTGCACTGTTACCTCATTTTAATAGTTTATGAAATTCTTTTAAAATTCTCTCTGTGCTTCTCTATGTACTTTGTTATTATGGTATGTTCATCCCAAATGGATTCATCTGAGATAGTTGCAGTTTCACTTATGTCCTGGGTTTAGCAGTAGCCGTCAATTTTTCTCCTTCTTGGTAGCTGGTGCAGCGCTGTGTTTTGACTTTCAGCCTGGGAACAGTGCTGATAATACCGATGTTTTCAGTTGTTGCTAAGTGATATTTACCAGGACCGAGGACTTTGTGAGTCTCATGCTCTGCCAGGGAGGAGGGGAAGCCAGGAGGAAGCAGAGACAGGACACCTGACCCAAGCTAGCCAAAGAGGTATTCCATACCACAGCACATCATGCCTGGGGTGGGGGTAACTGGGAGTTACCCAGAAGGACATGGGGTCTTCTGGGTCTGACTCGTTTCTCGGCGGGTGGTATTGTATTTTCTTCCCTTGTTATTTTCTCTTGCCATTGTTGTCGTTGGTCATAGTGGTGGTGATTTGTGTTGTACATTGTTTGCTGGACTGGTCTTGTCTCAACCCGTGGGAGTTGCACTTTTTCGATTCTCCTCCCCATCCTTCCGGGAGCGGGGAAGAGGAGAGCCCCCGGGGAGGGGTGGGGGGGGTGGGCGGGCTTGATTGCTTCTAGCCTGGCACCACTCACTGGGAGTGAGTGAACAAGCTGTCTGGCTAGGGTTTAAACCACGACAGTTCTTTTTTGGCGCCCAGCGTGGGGCCCAAAGGGTTGAGATAACAACAGATCTGTCCAGATTAATAGTCACTCGTCACAATGCTGATTTATTGGCTCTCAAGGTTGTTCCTCTTGATCTCACAGTTTCAGTATATCGTACCTCCATCCGGTATTTGCTGTATTAGTGTTTTTCAAGTGTGGGGCTTGGGCTAAGGTTTTTGTCCCATTGTACTTTATGGTAATGACTTGTAATACAATAGAATCATTGATCGTGAAACTGATCTGGCTTATGTTCCCAGTGTGGTCACCAACTTTATACTTTGGGAGGTATATAATAAAAGTGCTTAGCAATTACACATCTTTTTTCTCCTTCTCGGGTGGTCAACCTGTGAAGGAGACATTCTTTTACCCTCCCAGTCCTCCCCCCAGATCATTTACAGCATCATTTGAGAGTTTTGAATTTTTTGAATGGCCTTTTAATGCTGTTGAGACTTGTTTGCTGATCGTGATGGGGATCACCATGTTGGCACACATACAGAGTGTATTTTGCCCACGACTGATTTCAGGAGTTAAGCAGAGT